GGAAGTGCTACTCCTATTCTTCTTCTGGAAAAACGAAAGAGAGCTTCAAAACAGACTGCAGCGCCATCTGAAGCAAAGAGCATACTTCCTGCGGACACTTTTTTGGCTGAGTGGCCCATCTTGTTATTCACTATCTTTGTTTACACATAAGAGAGGTAAACAACGTATTCGCTCTTCCAATCCTTCTCTATGCACGGATGCTGACACGACGGGCTTATAAAAAAGCTGTTAATAATAACGTCCACTGTGGAAAGCGATTACCTGAATTTGAACAATCGTATGTCTTCTTAATCGGAGGCTTACATAACTTCCAAATAACTCTATTGAACAGCCAGTCCATCCCAATATGTGTGATCTCACATCAAGGAAGTAAACAGTGTCGTTGCAAGTTAAGGACTGAAACGCTCTCACTAATATCTCCAATCAAAGCATTCAATGCATGGACCACAATCTCAGGGGAGGGAGGGAGGGGAGAGAGAGAGAGAGAGAGAGAGAGAGAGAGAGAGAGAGAGAGAGAGAGAGAGAGAGAGAGAGAGAGAGAGAGAGAGAGAGAGAGGGGGAGGGAGGGAGGGAGGGAGGGAGGGAGGGAGGGAGAGAGAGAGAGAGGGAGAGAGAGAGGGAGGGAGAGAGAGAGAGAGAGAGAGAGAGAGAGAGGGGGGGGGGAGGGGAGTTCATTGACAACTAAATACCCATCTTGTCTAGACAAACGACAAACAATTCCTAACGACGTGAACATCAAGTTCAATATTTCACGTGAAGAGGAGAAAATTCACATAAATCATTAAACGTACAGATAGTTCAAAGCTACAAGACGCTTAACTGTACATGTCAAACAGACACCAGGCTCTTCCAGCAATACTGGTTGTTGAGAATTCAGGGTCACCCTTTGTGTAATCTGGAAGTAAGTGGGATTCACAAAAACAGACTAATACTATTATTTCCGTGATTGACCATTAATGATTATATGTATTACATCCCCATTGACACAAAATAGACTATTCAAGAGGCGGCTGCTTCGAGCCTGTTTGCCAGGGCCCAACCCTGGCGGAGAAGGAGACAGCTTCAAAGAGGACAGACGGATATTACTCGATTAAAAAGGCAGCAACAAAACTTCGTTAAGCCGCAATCGAACTCGAGTCTTCTCCACGCAACGGGGAACAGCCTAACCATTACATTGCAGACGCCAGTAGACATGGACAATACCAAAACCAAAACAAAGAAGTAGAATGAGCAGACAGCACAAGACGTTCGTCAACTAACCATCTGCATAATCCTGAAGCGCTCAAGACCATTTGTGTCCATTTTCTTATTCTGTGTTTTGATCAGCTGCCACACCGCAGGGAGAGAGGAACTGTACAGTGGAAATAAAACATTTATCTACCGCTCTCGTGCATCTGTGACAATGTTAGGCCAGCTATTGATCTCATTCGGAGCTTGGGGTGGTTAATTATGGCCGGCCACGAGTCCCTATTTCCTCTTTGATGCCAACAGCTTGGCGGTGCGTTCAATCACGCACTAATGCCGACCTCACGCTGAAGGGCCGGCGTTTGTGATCGTACTGTAGTAATCTTCCTTGTCAAAGATTGGAACACACTGAGTAATACTGAATAAGACCCCTCACCAGTTTCACAAAAAGTAACATCGTTCGATGAGACACAATGTAATATTTGACTCTATGGCGGTGAGCACCATGGATGATAATAATAATGATAATAACAATAATAATAATAATAATAATAATAATAATAATAAGAAAAAGAAATAAGAAAAAAACCGGGGTTGGGGGGGGGGGGGTGGGGGTTGGATAGGTTAAAGAGAAAAACCATACACGCAAAGCAACCCGCCAACCACTCTTACACAATTGTATACAGACGTAAACGAAGGGAAACTAAAGGTCCAATTGTCACGCGCAAAAATTAGGGTCACGGAGTGAGTTGCTGTGCATGCCTGGGTCAGTGCATGTACTATGAGTAATCCACTGAAGCTACGGCTTTACTATACAACATTCAATGCTGATCGACAAACTGCGCCCGAGGGGCAGGGAACAAAATAATGTTAATGTGTACACAACAAATGCGTCTCAGTTCTCAGAGAAATAGACAAACCCGGCACGCATTGTACGCAGACTTATTTGCAACTTATCTCAAAGAGCAAAGTTTTTGCACACTTGACCCCCCCCCCCCCCCCTTCCCCCGTTCGACCGACGAAGTACATCGTTCAGCATGGCCGTGTTCTGAGCCTTCTATACTGATAACATAAAAGGTCTTATTTATATAAACTTTCTATTTTAAGACACTGAAATGATCATTTACAAACCCAGTGTCTTAAAATAGAAACTGAATGTTAGGCCTTTCCTGTTATCAGTGTAATAGGTTTAGGACAAATCATGCTGAATGATAATACACAACACTGATAATACACAATAACTTGGCAAAAGCCACGGGTGAAAACCCAACGAGGTAGGAATCTTTCCTGAGCTTTTTGAAAGATGCCTTTTATTTTTACACGATAATGTAGTGCTCCACCATTAATACACCTGACGAAAAGACCACACAAAGCCAATCTGTGAAATGTTCTTTGTCTGAGCAAAGTCAACCAAAATCCACGGCCACAATGATAAGGGGAAAGCAAAACGACACGCCGAAGGAGAAACGGACGGGTGGACGAAAAGCGCCCTGGTGTTGTTTGATCCTATTTCTGTTCGCTGTTTCTATTGACCTAACCCGGCTCATGACCTGAAGACAAAAGGGCTGTCAATGGGCAGTAGACTCGCCGCTCACACTACTAAACTTCACCGAAACAAGGCTGAGGCGGGAAAGACGAAGAGGCTCTCTGTGCCATTGTTTATCCACCTGTCTCTCTAGCTCCCCAGAAAGATCCCAACACAAACGGTCACAAATCACAGGCGGGGAAGTCAAACGGTCGAGATTTTGCTTCCCTTTTTTCTCTATCTAGTTTCCCCCTCACCCAGAACCTTTCTCGGCAACATCACAGACGTGCGTCTTCTTCCCCTTCCCTTTTCTGAAGCAAGATATTTTGTTGGCTTCTTGTTTCTTTCTTTTTTTTTCTATTCCTTGGTAAAACTGATGCCACAGTTCGCACGCAGCTGTCATTAAAAGGGTTTTTATTTTATTTGGTCAGTCGTTTTCGCGTGGAAAAAATAAAGTCTTTACTTTTCATGACTTTTTTTCTGGGAGAGGGGGGGGGGGGTGATTCATTTTCGAAGACGCTCACAAAATAATTGTTCATGACTGTTGACAACAGCCACATTCCGCCCTCAAAAAAAAAAAAAAAGAAAAAGTAACATTGAACTAAAGCAAAAGGAACAAACTGTACACAACACAGCACCCCCAAACCACCAGCAGTAATACAGTCCGTGCGACATAACCGGCATAACCCAAGCGGCCAAATGTGAGGCGGGCGCATCCTCTTCAAAGGTCGTGTTTGCGCCTACGTCAAACAGAATCACAATGATACCCATGTAGCCATAGGGCGTACCTAATGAAAGCACGCTCCCCGCCAGAGATAAATGAGGCAAAGAAAAGAAGCACGGCCTACCAACAGCGCCATCCAACCTCGTCAGTAACGACACAAGTTCACGTTTGCCGTGTCGCCACTGAAAAGAACATGCACTAACTAGCCTGTCGCCCAGACACCTGCCCTATTCAAGTGTAGCTTGCCTCTACTCAAACTTAACTTCTGTTGTTTAGCTACAGGGTCAATGGCGTCAGCAAAGCATTGAATGGCCAGGCTCTTCGCCCCGAGAGCCGAGAAAGGCAGTTCGTTTATGACACGTTAATGAGTATCCTTGTCTCTGGGCAGGGATATATTCCAAACAACCCTGTATTGGCCTCGACCGGGAGCGCAGCGGTTGCCTGCATGCATCCAAAACGATCTGAACTACTGCATATTTACATTCCTCTATCAACACTGTTAGGTTATGTAAGAAGCAGGACCTCCGAGTTCAACGTCCATCTCCGAAAGGACCGAGCCAATTGAGAGATTCGTGCAAAGTGCCTTTCCCAAGGACACAACGTCGGATTGAGTTGAGGCTCGAACCCCCGAAACCCGCAATCTCACGACTACGAGTCCAGTAGCCTAACCACTAGGCCATCGACACCACTCTACTCATGGGGTGGATGTTACAGCAAAATGCATGTGCATAACACCCCCCTCCCCTTACGTACACATAAAAAAAAAAAAAAAAAAAAAAAAAAAACCCAAAATGCTACTTTATCCATCGTTCAACATACAGATAAACCTTTCTCCCTCCCAAACTACACGTATGTGCTATTAACATTATTAATTCCGAGTGTATCACAACGTTGCCCGACGACTGAAATGGAGCAATTTTTGCTACAGTGGGAACTGTGAGATATCAGAGAAATGTTGTAAGTATCTAATGCCTATATCAATATGATTCACATCATTAGGAGATGGGCTGCTTCAACCTTGCCTTCTACTGCTAACTTTTTGAGCTAGGTTGGATACACGCCAGTATAGAAAGAGACGCTCCAGAAATGCTTTTTCCTCACAAGAGATCTGAAATCACGTATACTTTGGGGGAAAGAGACTGACATTACACAGTTATCCCCGCTTCCATTCTTTCCATAAAACGCACTGTTGATGTTGCTATCAATCAAGTAGCAATTAACCCCCCCCCCCAATCCTACCCCATCCAGTGGAAAGAGGGTGTACTACGAAATTTAAATTGTACTTCCTATTGCAGTAATCCGTACTGTGCCAGCTACGATAAGACCAATAGCAAAGAAACCAAAGAAAGGACCCTAGAACGTGCCCCATATCCGTTTGAAAACACAAACAGACACACGCATATATATACACACCCACACACACAAAAGAAAACAGTTGTCGGTTCGATTCCTGGCATTGGAAGATTGGGCATTCATCCCCGTGACAGGGACATTATCGGATTTTCCACAGTTCATCACAGAGTGATACCCCCCCCCCCTCCTTCCCCTATAACGCGCGCCACTCACCTGGAATGATGTTGGCCTCGGTGCTGATGTCTTCCCCGTTGAGCTTGCACTTGAGGTCTCGACTGGCCGGACACACGGTGACCCCCGAGGTCCGCCACACTGTCAACATGACAAGGGGCACCACTATGTCGTTGTCATCCTGGGACTGCGGTGCTGAACCACCCGCTGTCTGCTTCACGCAGGCAATGCTTTCATCGAGTGTCAGCCCTGAAATGGTGAGATGGTATAAGTTTAACGCCCCTATCAACACAATTAGGTTATTTAAAAGGCGGGACGTCCATATCCAAATTCGAGTAAAGTGCCTTTCCCAAGGACACTACGTCGGACCGAGCTTAGGTTCGAACCCTCAAACCTGCAGCAATCTCACGATTATGAGTACGGTGGCCTAGCCACTAGGTCACATCACCCAGAAAGCTCTTATCTAAAAGCTACTGCTCTGAAACGTTTGATCTTAAAAGAAAGGGGAGGTGGGGGTGGCGTTCTTGTCTAGTGACAGGGCTTTGGGCGGCCTATTAATAAGTTCGATCCCTAGCTTAGGCATATAGAGGGAATTGAACCCTCAGAAAAGAAACATTTTTGTACATTTTTCAGTTCACCAAGATGAAAATAGGTAACTGACAATTGCTAAAATGGAGAACGCGAAAGATGGCAGCTTGTGCCTAACAGGCTGCAATATTTTGCCATAAAGTTATCACAAGAGCCTTCCACTAAAGAAGATACAATATGGTAAATTATCACTGTCACACACAGCTGCAAAACAACAAGTTGCATTGACTTGTGATTAACCTATCAACTTTTCAAAGAACTATGTTGTGTCTTACACTTTTGTGGATGTTTAAGACATAAATACCGCGTACTGATTAAAGCAAAATGCTGACAAAAGCAGCGTCATCCCAAAAGAAAGCTGACAACACCTAAAGTCCTTCTCAGTTTTCCACAGATCTTTCCCCCAATTTCAAGAATACACATATATGTCATGTTATTTCTAACAGCGAAAGAAAAACTTTCTTTTTGTATAAAATACCAACAAACCGCATAATCATCCTAGATATCTGACAACATCTAAAGTCTTTCTCAGTTTTCCACAGATATATACATGTATCTCACAATTCCAGGAAGATAACTTTCTTTTGTCATGCCATTTCTCACAACGAAGGGAAAATTGTCTTTTGTATCACAGAAAGACATGTATCAACAACACAGGAACATAACCATAATTAAAAAAACCAAACCCATTAATGATGAGCAAACGACTTCTAAAACGTCAAACCTCCAGTTCAAGTCCCTTAAATCCCCCTTCTACTCATTAATCATAATCGGCCAGTCCTCCCAAACAAGTAGGCTACTTACAAGTGTTTGAAGTACATGAATAAAGCTATGGTAATACTTACTGTTACTACTAATACTTATATTAGTCATAAAAGCCCAACAAAGAAAGGCAATGGTTGCGGCAAAATGCCACCCAAAACAATTTAAATAATTTTAGGTCCTCAAACGGTAGATAGGACTGACGTTTATACTTGTCCCTTTTTTCTTTCTTTGTGTGTGTACCGACAGCTCTTAGTGAGACAAGGAGAAAATCGAGGAGTATCTCTTACCTTTGAAAATATCTGATCAATCAAAATCATAAACAATGGAGAGAAAATTAATCAGCCCCTTATAAAAGTCCAAAAGTGTGGGCTTATGTCAAAGCATCAACACAACTGGCCACGCCAATAGGAATCACCTTTCAGAATTGGGCTGATCACCAAACGTGACAGAAATCCTCGCAAAGCAATTATGGCCCGAACAAAACACGGCGATAGGTGTCATTAGAAAGTCCGGCCGGTAGCTCGAGGTCAGAGAGATCCCCTTATCTGATCCACTAACTGATAGCAGTATACTGTCTCCGTAATATGGACAATACAAACACAGAAAACACTGTGCGTCACATCTACCTGGGTAATAAATGTACTAATGGGCAAATTCAACAACACGACTAACAAACCCACGCAAGCTCTTCACGGGCCATGGATATACTGTGTAGGTATGAGGTGGATCAGGTAACACAGCCCCGTGTTAGTTGCAGTGGTCTTGTATATAAATACATGTGCGGGCACATTCATGTCAAAGCTATAGTAAACCAGTAGTTTTCTATTTGAACGTAGCTTTGGTGGTAATCGGCAGACTACACATGGTAGTCAGTTTAATGAAATTTGTTAACCAAATTTTACACCAGCCATACACATTGAGACGGTTTTGCATGAGTCGTGCAGCTGTAGATGAGCAGACACGACTTTAAAAATAAATGTAAAAAAAACACACAAAAAACCAAAAAACACCGAGTGGCTGGAGATTCCCTACTGGCAAAAACCCAGAGAGAAAATCTGCATATAATGAGAAACTGGAATACTGCCAAGACGATATCAAATACATATATTAACATCAGTGATGATTTTTTTTCTCTTCTTTTAATCATAGGGAAGCAGCTCCTCAACAGATATTGTAAGGCAGAGCTGTTAAAAAATTCAAAACGCCAAGTAGATAAAAAGGACCCTTGGTCTTCAAAAGCTTTGTCTCGATGTTTATTATCAAATACCTTGCTTGTTTTGACCTCACAAAAAGCATCTTCATTCGATCAGTCGGGGAAAATAAAGAATATCAACTTTCTGATAAAGCATATATAAAAACCAGACAAAGAATATGATTAGGCGCAATTTGGAGACAAGTACCTGCTTACCAGTCAACCGTCTCTGGAAACAGATGCAGTGTATTGTAATGGTTTTTAAAAAAAATATCTCATTCAATACAATTTAGATCACACAGAAGGCAGGTCACTTCAACCTTGCCTGGCCAGGCCATCCCAGGCTGAGTGGGGGTACACCATCCCAATAGAAAGACAGAATACTCAATATAACCATTTGATCGCACAGGAATAAAAACAAAGTTTTCTATGTGCATTGGCAAAGAGCATAGGCCTACCTGTTACACCAGATGCCATTATGAATAGACTGGGACAAGTGCAAAGAAGCAAACATAGCTGGCTACACCAGAGTAAGAACCCCCCCTCCCCCCACCAATTCCCTAACCACTTATCAAACTGGCAGAGACCAGCCGAAGAGACATAGCCATTCACAGAGACGATTTTGCTGAGGGTGGTAATAAAGTGAACAGAGCATACCCCAAATACACAGATTTGCATTACTATAGGGTAAACAGCTGAATTGCATCTTGCCTCGGCTTTGTTTCCTCTTGATTTCCTGCTCTTAATCTGATAGCTTTATTCCAAGACAATCAACAGTTCATAGTTTGCAACATTAGATTATATTGGCATATTTTCAGACCGATTCTGATATAAACAAAAGAGAAAAAAAATATTTCGTTGATTCAGAAACAAAATAGTGTATGAAAAACCCCCAGCTACATGTATTCAACATTCTTCGAACGTTCATGTACAACAGCAGCACTCCTCAACATTCCAATACGATGACATGCTGGAATCATCACAACAGAAAAAAAGGAGCTTAGATGCACAATAGGAATAAACACTTATTTTACACAGATTCTCTTTCAATCTCTCATTTCTCTTTCTTCTTTTATTAATTTCTGCAAAAATGTTGACACACATAAAAACAAAACTTGTCTCGATCAATTCACTTAAAACAACCTTCTATTCACATACCCCAACCATTGGCCTGACACGTAAATCTATAAAACTAGTCTCTTTCAAGATGATCACTCTTTGAGGTTTCGTCTACATTTAAGATGGCTCACAGTCAGCACCAGGGATGCAATGGTGGTATGGTGGTCTAGTGGTTAGGCTGTTGAGCTCGCAACAGAAAGATCACGAGTTCAAATCCCATAAGGGCCCAACTTTGCGTTCTTGGGATTTTGAAAGAAAATTATCCTGACTTCACCCAAGTGGAATCGGGTACCCAGCTATGGATAGCGAAAGATCCTGTCATTTTGTTAGTGTCTGAGTGTTTTTATCGGCTGCTTGCACTGTATGCCTATGCTTCTTGGGAAGCCAAGAACGTGTCTGAATGTTCTACGGTCTGCTGGGGGAAATAACAGTTGTTGCAGGCACAGGCAAAGCTACATAAATTATTGTCATTATATCATTATTATCAATACTTATTATTATTATTTTTATCATTATTACTTTATTGTTATTATTATTATTATTATTATTATTATTATTACTATTATTATTATTAGATCTAAATGATGAAGTAAAACCTTTAAGTTTCAAATGAAACTTAGACAGTTCTTTAAAAAGTTTATCGATCTCAAGATCATTTGGGAGACATTTTGACAATTGAAAATATCACAAAAACAGAATTTTCCAGTTAGTCAATCAGTACATAGAAATGAAACGGGCCTTAAGAGTGCAGACACAACAACTTAATAGATTTGCTTATTGACCAAAAAACCAAATAACAAAAATAAAGGCAATGAAGTTATATTATTTTTTTTTGTAACACAGTTTTGTATGATAATTTTAAGTGTTTTATGCCCCAACAACAAAATTTTAATCATTGAAGAGGACAGCTGCTAAGAAGGATACAGTATTTCAGAGAACAGATGGAGATAGATACTTTGCAAAAAAACTGGTTTGTCTGAATGTGTCTGTTTGTATACATGTGTGAACATGTGTGTGTGTTTGTATGTGTGTGTGGGTGTGTGTGAATGTGTCTGTCTGCCTGTCTGTCTATGCATTTCCATTGCTGTGTATCTGTTCTGTGTGCCTCTGTTTATAAGAGTAGGCATTTGTTTGTAAATGTATTTTTGTCTCAGTGTGTCCCGTCAGTATGGGTCAGTGAGTGTTTGAAAAAAAAAAGCCAAGGGAGGGGGGAAGAAAAGGTTAAAAGGGCGTAGGATAAAACAAAAGGGCCACCATCCATCATCATGGCGAACAAGCAAAATAAATTTTTGTCTCAAGTTAATACATGTATTGATGCCCACTGATACCAACTGGCTAAACAGACATGCCACTATTCTCCGTGATTTGTGTGTGGTCAGCAGGCAGTCCATTTATGGGATGACAGGCTAATGGATTATGATGGTTCGCATGCCTCACTCATCACTGGTCAACTTGAACTTGGGTAAACAGAGGGAGAGAACACTTACTTCACCAATGTGCTGATAGTGAGCAGGTGAACTGCAGGAGGGGCAAAAAATAATGACAGGTGAATGGATTGTAAATAACAGCTCATCCACAGTGTCAGACGCCAAATTCAAAGCAATCAAGGTGTTGGTGGATGAGAAATTTATGTGACTGTCTTTGTCTTACTGTCTTGGTTGATAAAATATAGCAACCACAGATGCACAGGACAGGTTGTCGTCTCAGGCAGTGTTATCACATAATGGAGTGGAGAAGTGGGAAGTGGTACAGTCGAATCTGCCCTGATGGCCACCTCTATAAGACGGCCACCTTCCATTTCCCCCTTGCGTTTTTTCTATATATATAATTTAACTGTGTAAAACGGGCACCTGTCTAACGCGGCCGCGGCCACGTTATTTTAACACACAACCCCTATCATACTAAGCAATAATACCTGTCTTTGACGGTCACCTTAGTGACTCAATTATGTTTTGTCATAAATTGTGCATTGGCCCCTGGCGTTGTGGGCGAGCCGTCATAATTCAATCACCTGTCGTTGTTATGTAGTCCCTCCAACCAATTATGTTGCGTAGGCCCCTCCCACTGTTGACCAATAGCTACCAATATACAGCTGCTGGTGAGGTAAGCGTGTGATCCCTCATAACCCATAAGCCCCGCCCAGAACTCATACACAAATCGTAAGTGAGATGAGTGGTCACTGTTTACCCAGTCTGTAACAAAGTAACAAAAGACGACAACATGAACTTGTTACTGAAGTGCCCCTCGTTCTCCGAGTGGTGGCGACCCATGTGTTTGTTTTAAGAGGGCACTCGGTCTTCCTTGTCTGATACATTTAGTTTTATTGTCACCCTTGTGCAAAATCAGTGACCAAATAAAAATTACAAACGAAATACAAACCAACAACAACACCAACAAAGACAACAACAATGGGGCTACTTTCAATTGGGGCCTCAGATGGGAATGGTTTGTTTTCTTTATCTTAATCAGTCCTGCCTAAGACGGCCAACTGTCTTATACGGCCACTTTTCTCCTTGACAATGGGTGGCTGTCTTACACAGGTTTGACTGTAATTTTATATAGGCGGCCTTAAGAGCATGTAAATTCAGCAAAATAGAAAATTGCTTCATTTACCTCATAGTACAAAGTAAAGCAAGTGAATATAACACAAACCCACATCTAGCACCTTTACTCTTTCAGACAAATGATTTCCTGACAACTCTAAGGAATTCTTGCTTTCAAATATGCTCTATGGGTGTCGGCATTGCATAGAATTCATTCTTAAGTTACACATATCATAGTAAAACTGAACGAACTTCAAGCTAAGAATACAAATACCACCTGTCTCCATGCAATGGGACATACAACACAACAGAAGACAATGTGTAGCTCCTAGCCCCCCCCCCCAAAAAAAAAAAGACTAAATAAAATAATATAAACGAAAATTTAACAAAAATAAAACCTTTCTTAATCAAGTGAGGAAACAGACATAAAACTTTAAAAAAAATGTACTTGTGGGTGTAAGGCATAGACCAAAAAGGAGAAAAACATTCTAAGAGAGGAATACACCTGCAATAATAATGCAATGTCCAAGAAAAACTACTGTTATGAATAAAATTTATTCATTTTCATTTAATGAGGGCTCAGTGTGTCTTGACAGTTGGTACATAATGGAATATACCAAAGAAGGGGCACAGGGAAGGTATTTTCATCTTTTTAAAAGACATATATATATATATATATATATGTCACAACGCAGTGGAATAATCAGGCGCTCATCAGTTTTTGGTCCCGTGAAGTTATTGGTATAATTTTATAGCTGATTTATTTGCCTTGCTTTTAATGAAATAATATCCATTTACCTTTAATAGAACTCAAGATATTTGCAATTGAAGGAAGTGAGATCGCCTGGTTTCAGTGGAGATATTATCAAGAAATGGCAGTCAAAATTTGGTAATTCTATACAGGTAAAAAGTCTTTGAAAACGGAAAAACAAAGTTTTTAAAAACCTTTCATCAATGTTTTTTTCCAGAAAAATTCACATGTAGATTCTAAATGTGTTTTTATATGGACATAAAAGACGTTAAGCAAAAAAATAAAAATTTGACTAAAATTTCCAAACTGGCGGAAAAATGCCAGCTTCTCCGATTTTGTTATTTTGACGAGCACCTGATTTCACCACGTTGCCTATTATATATATATATATATATATATATATATATATATATATATATATATATATATATAATTACAGGCTCTGTTCTAGCTTTGTGTATTCAACTGACAAATTCAGTAACAAGAAACAAAAGAAACTAGAAAGATAAAATAAGCACAATTTTTTTTTTTTTTTTTTTTATTAAACATGAAAAGTGAAGAAGGAATTGTTCACATAGAATCACACAATTTTATTTTTTATGAGAGGAATCAACTTCTTGAGCTGATGCACATTTTAAAAGTTTTTATTTCTAAAAATTTGAAAGATAGAACAGAATTATTAGAATTGTGTTTAGAATGTCAGTCAGTACTAGATCTATAACTATACTATAGAGGCTTTTATAATTATAATATATTAATGTTCTTTTTTTTCTGAGTCTTGGTCAAGATCCCTCTCTCCCCCAAACTCTTGCTACTAGATCTAGGTCAAAAGAGAGTCAAAAGGAAACCAGAAAGCATGATAATTGGCGCTACCTGATGGCATCATTACCTTGGTCCCGTTTCACGGTTTTGTCGGTTTAGGGCTAGCCGGATTGTCCTCCACAGAAAGGGAGAAATGTTTGGGCAGTTGGTTTATTTATAGTGTGCACTGAAGCTGCCAGAAACAAAACGGAACCTCTAAAGCACCGCCTTAAAATTTCCAGTTAAATCTTGAGCATGAGTCATAATTGATAATCATCTTCATGTGAAAAAGAAAGTAGGTTCTTTGTTGAGAATACTAAAACTGTAATGATTAAATATTAGATCTAGTTTCTCTTTCACAGATTTTTATCAAATCAACCCTCGATAGGTTGACAGACTGACTGAAACTTATTTTCCGAAATCGTCTTTCCTTTGGAATCTAATTTATCATTTATAAAGCCATAAATTTAAGACATTTTATTTGAGGCTCACAACATTACGATGCCATTATGATGAGGCTTTTGATCTAGATATTAGATCTAGTTTTTAGGAGGCCTTTGCCAATGCAAAACCACAAGAAAGGGGAAGACCGTAATATTGTGACTGTCATATTATATATATATATGACAATATGTATGCCAAGCCAAGGCATCCGCTACTTTCTTTTCATTCTAGACTATCTAGATCTAGATCTAGTTCCAGTCCTCCTCGTTGTTCATTATGTTCAATTTAAAAAGTCAAGGACAAAAGCTGATTATTTGTATCTCTGTCAGTACAGCAACAGTTACACAGTCCCCCCCCCCCCTTAAAAAAAATCTTCAATAGACTTCTTAGTCTTAGTCTTATTAAGAAGTGCAGTTCTAATCTAGTTGAGAAAACGATTCTTAAATATAGATCAGGATGTGTTAGTGTTAATTAGATTGATTTGGCATATTTGCCATGCCATGTCCTACGAGTGATCAAGTGATCAAGACACGTTCACGTTGAAACAGCCTATAGATCTAGATAAGTAGCAGATTAGATCTATCATATAATATGAATAATGAGTGAAAGTTTCTACTGACCAATGCAAAATTCTCCATCACCAAAAAATGTAACTGTCTGTCCGTCTTCACAGTTTCGAACGCTATACGTGTGCTCGATGTGTCCCTCCATCTGTATTCCTCTGGAAGAATATCGATTTTTTCATAATTCTGGCACGGCAGAGAACCCCAGGAAACGATAGAAAAAGAGTACCACAGTGAGTAACTCGACGGCCGCTGTGGTCCAGAGTTGTTTCGATCTCACATCGTCACGTGATGTTTTCATTTTGTAGACCAAATTTATCTCCTACCAAAATGTTTCTAAATTGATAGACTCGTGTGTACAAAGAGGAAGAAATAATCAAGTTGAAATGGCAGATTGGCCACAGTTTCAGGGAAAAAACCCCAACAAACCCACAACATAGACCTAGACCAAAACAAAGATGCAGGAAGATTTTTCATTATGCCTGCAAGAAGCAACATTTATTTTAAAAAGCCTCAATTCAAGCACTGATGGGTAAAATTTAAAAAAAACCCTCACCCATAGATAGATAAAATAAACTTTTAACACAAACAGATTAGAATCATCGACATATGAATAGTAACATATCTTCTGCAGCAGCGGGAAAGCAGTTAACTTGCATAATTCACAGAGATCCTGAATGAACTGGGCATGTAGGATGAAAATGCAATGTATGACCCTCAAATAAATCAACTCGACCAAATTAATGTTTTAGGCTTTAGATCTAGATCTAGATTTTATTATGCAAAGGGAATGAAATCTGGCACAAAAGGTGTTTAAAAAAGCTTGTCTCACTTATTGGGCAAGGCAAGGGTAGCCTATATTATCATACTATCAAGGCTGTTTTGGTTGGCTTTGGGGTGATTGTGCTAACATGTTCCGCTGATTTCAGAGCGAGAATTTGATGTATAAGTTGTTTTTGTACTTTTATTTTGTAGTTCTTGCAAATCAAATTTCACAACTATGGATGAATTTGGTGACAAGGCGAGTGACGAAAATGTGAGCAGTTTGAGTTTGGGAGCATCATCGTCAACTTCACTGTCTTCACCAACAAATGGCATGCAAGTGGACACGCTCTCCTCGCCTTCTCAGTCTCAAGGGTAGGTTGGCTGGGTTTTTTTTCAGCTTTGTTGCAGACTTCGGGAAGATTGAAGAATACGGGACCACTCATAATATAGATATTGCGCGAGAATGTGGGGTGGGTGGGGCGGGTGGATGAG